AAGGTGCGAGATACGAAGATTTCAGAAGAGGCGCCTGATATAGACGAAGGAAAGTAAAGAGGTAGATATAGATGAGATGTAGAAACCCTTTGGGAATGACCCTATTTATAGATCCTCCTTTAGAGGGGGGATGTTGATGAAAGGAAGACACGCAAGAAAAGAAATAGAATCAAGGACAGAATTGTTGTTGCCTGGCCTAATGTGCCGAACAGAGCGCCATTAAGTGATATTCATCCGTATGACCATCTAACGATTGATTCCGCGGACCTGTCACCGCCTCGACGTGTTGTTTGGCTGGCATCCTGTGCTTTGAACCGTCAAGCGGGAAATTAATCATCTGTGACTGGCCCGCAGGCCTTCTTGTATTGTTAACATTCCTGTCGCATTGGAGATCGTCTTCAATTATTCATGTTTTAGGTGTTGCTTCTTCCATCAGATGGTGTTGAGTCCGTCTGTATGCACGTCTGCAATGCCGCGGGAAATTCCAATGCCCGTTCCCTTGGCCCTAGCCACCTGTTACCATATCTTTCTGACTCCGGCCAGTTGTCAAAGCAGGTGCAAGATGCCGCTGCCAGCATCTTCTTACAAGTTTTCCCTCCGTTGTGCGGTATATCTTTAGAGTTGTGCATTCGACGTGTTCTCGGTCAAGGCGCCTGGGTGGTTCGTACGACCAGATAGTACAGTCCCTAGCCATAGTGTCAGGCCCAGATACGTTACGTGACTTAGGCTACATAACTGATCAATATCCGTGCTCTCTTCTGTCTTTTGCCTAGGGTCGAGCGCGTGAAGACAGGCGGGATGTGCCTGTAAGATGCTGGACCCTGGAGTGTTGGGTTACGGAGTGTTGTGCGTGGTTCAAGCAGTGTAGATCGAGGCTACTTTACACGTAGATGGAAGTATCCTACTCGATGCACGCTTGCTCAATGCTTTGGCCTAGCCGGCTGCTTCTTGCTTCTGTGCAGCATAACAACCATCAGTGGCTTCCAGACTTTCACCTTTAACAATAGAAGCATCTACTGTATTCGAGCAAACGAGCGTATAGACAGTATTTTGTGTCCATTTTGAGCGTGCATGCTTGACCTCTTGATTCTGCGCTGGGTATGTCTGTCCTCCGTAGGGGTGGAATAGTCAGGTTAGCATGTTCTGGAAAGGCTATGTGCGAGAATTGATTGTCATATCTTTCTGCACTCATATTGAAAGACAATGTGCGAGCTCGTATGGCAGGCTGAGCTGTCCGTACTATGTATGGAGAAGAGACCTGTCCCACTTCGAAGCTGCCAAGGCAACGCCGGGCCTCAAATACACACATTCACAATTCCATACCTGCATGAAAACTGCTTGCATTAACGCCCTCCGCAGAAGAAAACATTGCGTAATCCGATGTAGAAGGAGAACATCATGGTGGGTGATGTACGATTCGGCTTGTTGGTGGATGGAAAATTGAGGAGTTTCATGACAGTTGCCCAGCACACAACAGATCTTCATGGCCTCGTATATCACAACGATCTCGCTGATGTGCCACTATCATCATACAATGGAGGAGTCGTGCCTGTAGATGGTCCTCATATGCGTTGGCTGTGTTGCGCTGGAACGTTCAGTGATGCTGCCATTTGAGGACACTGTACAGCCCCGATAACAGATTTGGTCCACAGAATGACGGAGAGGCATGAATTGCAGCATGCAGACTAGCAAAGATCGGTCCGAGCTCGGGATAGTGCCCGGTCATTGGAGTGAGTCCTCCAGAAGTGTGCCCCGCCACGCATCTTGCTGCGCACCCGCTCCAGACGTAGTTATATATATTCTAAATACTAGTCTCTCCAACAACAGCAGTAGCTGAGAGTTGGGCGAATGGTTTAGGCATGTGACTTCATTCGGTTCCCATCAGCATTCACTAACAGTTCATCAGTGGTATAATACTCCCTTAGCATGGGAGTGGTCCAGGGTTCGATTCCCTGTTCGTCCATCGCTTTTTGCATCGTAGAGGTCCAGTCTGTGATACTTAGGTGAAGATCTGAGTTGAGGGGCCGCCATGAGGCCGCCCTGGGGCTACCTTGGGGCTGGCTGCGGACAAAGACCATGGTTGGCGGCAGCGACGACGAACAACTCGGTTTTTTGGCAGGCCGCAATCGCGCAGCGCTCTGCGTCGAAGCGAACGTACAAGCACCGGCTCTTCCATAGTCTTCGTCCTGGCTCGATACTGTTGTGTTAAGGGCTTATAGCAAGTGGCCTGAGTTCGGATGATTGATCAGGCCCGGACCGATTTCCGTCGTTCTCTCGTAACGATACTCTGATATTAACGGGGTAGAGCTCGCAAAGCGATCATAGCAAGTCGAGAGCTGACAAAGAAGTTCAATCGTGTATCCGTTGGGTACAAGTGGCACTGGAGACGGTGATGATAAAAATACAGAAATGACAGGAGGAAGAAGTATTCGTAGCTGAATGATAGAGTATTCCAGTTATAAGATCCTCCTTCAACGAACCTTCGAAGACCGACCGAGTGCTTGCAATGTTTGACGGACCGCAGCCATATGCTGGGCGCTGATGGACCACATTTCAAACGGGTTACAACGGCTGGCTAAAACCTCTCAGTGATTGATCTAGTACCTCTCAAAATGGTACCTATGATGTTGTTTTGGCGACAAGCACTCTCTGGGGCATATGTTCGTCGAATGCGTTCCCCCCAGACGCGGTCATATCCGGCATACGGGGCGCATTAGTCCTCGATACATGGCCAGAAACCTGGAGCCCGGAAGATATTGTAACGCACTTGTCGTATCTAGTATAATACGATCGACAGCATTCATTTGAGCGAAGATTCATAAAAGAGGCAGAGGACGTGTGTTGGGAGAAGGCCAGTCACATGGTGACGCCAAGCCCTGTGACAAGGCAGGAAGGAGGACTGACGGAAGGACACGCAGTCAACAATAGCAAAGCGGCTGTAAGAGAAAGCATGTTCGATTGCCAAGTGCAAGGCTGGAACCTTGTAATTGTATACGGCATTGACGTGATCTCTCCTGCATTATTCGGCCTCGTTGCCCTCGAGATCCCTGCTGCTCTGGAGCTTTTGCGCACCACTTCAGACCATTCGGATCGAAGTCGGGAGTTTGGTAACAGAAACAGGCAACAAGCTGTCCATCTCCAGCTCTCACTGTTGACGAAGATGTTTGATTATTCTGCCGTACGACTGACCTACTTTGTAACAATCTCTCATGGAGCGCGCAGGACGTAGGTCTTCCGTATACACTTCAAAAGTGTACAACAGTACCGTCCGACCTTCTCGTTCGCTGACGCAAAGAATCTCGAGGGGGAAATGGTTGAATGTTGAAGGTGCGACGCTGAAGAACAGATACTCAAGAAATGGTACTCAAAATGGAGCATTTGGCAAACCTACCTCGACAAGGGCACAGCGTCTCTTGTAAGAATCGAATTCGGAAATGTAACAATCAATGCTTCTTTCCTACCTTTCAAGCAGAAGACCAAGAATCAAGCTCTTCCTTCGTGACTGTCAACGACGAAGCCGAACAATCTTGAATGAAGGACACGCGCGCGCACGTGTAGCCAGACCTGTACGACATCATCTGTCAAACACTAAATTCACTACTCGTACAATGTACTGCAATAAGATACGACCAGGTCGGTGAGGCCGTTGCACAGTTGTTGGTTGAAACAGCTGACCTCATCTCGCATCCTCGCGTCGTTCACTTCGCTACCGAAGCCGTTTCGACGATCGTGTTTACAAGCCTGTGCTGTACGTTTCCTTGCGGATGCTCGAGATCGGATTGGTCTTTCCGAATCCATTCTTTCGTGTCGTCGCTGGCATCAGTTAGTCATGCTATGTTGTGCTTACGCAAAGACATCCAGACAAGATGCGTTACTCGGAGTTAAATGAGATGGTGGCGTAGACAGGTCTATCGTGTGACGTTTAACGAGGCTGCCAACGGCTGTCAGGATACAGATTGCCGGCAATGTTCAGCGCCGTGACCGGAGCCGTTGAGTCGCTGAGAGCCTGTGCCTTTCCGACGCTTTCGGTCCTGTTGGACACGTTTGTTGTGATCATCTCAAGTTGGCGTTATTGTCATATCATCATGTGTGTTATTAGATGTCTGTCCGAAGCTTGACAGGCAGGGCTCGAGCCATTTAGGGCCGGCCGTGCTCGCCCCAGATACACAGCCAATCAGGCGGCTTGTGTGCCTGGACTGCAATCTAACCTTCTTCGGCAACATTTCGTTCTAAGGCAGGAACGAGCCTAGCGCCTTTGGCAACGGTCCAGCTTTCCCTCTCTCTTCATCAACTTCCCACCCATCACCCGTTCTCCGCCAAAACATCACCAGCACCAGCTTCCTCGAAGCGTCCACGCTCTTTACAAC